CACAGACTTATTGGGAGTCTGGGTTGACGACAACACCTGCTGTGACAAGGAGTTACATGACACCTTAGAGGCGACAGTCGGTTCAGTGGGCAGTTGTCAAAAAACCTGTATGCGTCAAGTCCAGCATGATGTAGCAAAAGCATTCTACGGGGACAAAAACCGCAATACATGCTAACACATACAAACAGGTAGAGTGCGGGCCAGCAAAAACTAGAAAACCGGAGCAGCAACAATAAATTTCGGCAAACAACCTCGCAATCGCTAAAGGAGAAGGCGTTTTCTAAATTTCATTGTGTGCCATCTGCTCCATTCTGGCAGTGCATTACATTGCATATAAAATGTCGGCACACCGTGTATTTTTTGTGGCTATAGTGTTATACACCATATAACCATAATAAGATAAATAACACGAGAGTCCGACCGTCGACTCCGCGTGATTTAGTTTAAACTGACATTAGGATTGCGCAGCGTCTACCGCATTCTCTCTTCCCCACTCCCTACCAGGACCCGGTGTCAAGATAGAGTCAAGAAGGCCGGAGGCGGGGGATGCGCAGGTGGCTGCAAGGCCGTGCCCGCACTTAGGTGTGCCACTCCACACCCCCTGGTCCATACAGCAAATAACCAGGTTTTTTGACCAAACAACAACAACACCCCAACAGGGGCCAGAAGGACGAGGATGATGACTGGGCAGCCATGCCCACCGCCTGCTTACACAGTGAGAGCTCGAGTGCATCTGCGGGCAGGGAACCAGAGGTCAGGGAACTGCCAGCGCATACCAGGTTGGGAGGGCCATGGTTTGCTGATACCGGCATAGCACACGCTTTCAGATCTTTTGACAGATTAATAACAAATGGGCCTAAGACGCCCGCGGGACGTTTAACAATCTGATCAACTACTAAGCAGAATTATGGTAGTCCTGAGCGAAGTCAACATGCAAATGAAAGCGTCCAGAATTTTCGACAGACCATTGTTGACGTATTTGCGCCGAGGTCAACTAGATAACGCAGGAGGCATCAGCCTTGCTTTCAACTAACGATAACTGTGCCGAGGGTCGGTGCAGTGATATATGAGGTGGACTATCATACATTAATCCGTAGATGCTGCATGCTAAGGTTTTTTCTAAAGCGTTCTAACATGCTGACAGAAAATTCGCCGGACACATTTGCTTCCATTGCTCTACAAACTGCGTTGTCTACTTAAAAAGATCGACGAACAGTTATATCTTAAAATTATTTCGCACAAAATAACACTTTCGGTCTAAGCCTATAGACCTGGAATATACTGATCATCTCCAAGTTCGCAATTAATATCTGAGGAAATTAAAAAGCAGCAACTAGTAGGGTATCCCCTTACCCTGAAAAATTAATCATTTTACAATCCATTATTAGCGAACACAGTTCGACACCAGTAATGCCTTAACTTGTTTTTGACGTGGAGTCCTTTTTTGGCAGTTCATCTAACCAGAGAGGCTAATGTGCAGGGTATTGCAGCTACTTTACGTGAACTAATTGAGTATCTAAAAACGCGACATATGCTCAACATAAGAAGGGGTCCCAATGAAGACAAGGGAGACCGGGATGGCCATTTCTGGTTTACCAGCTGTCATCACTCGATCATACCCAACCACAGGGCAATGGCACCTGGGCTTCGAATCCGCACCGAGCGTTTTTACGTCCGACGCTCTGCCATTGAACCACGAGCCCGTTTTCCTGTCGATAGCGATCGGAACTATTGACTACGTGGCAACTGCGTTCGCCACTCGGGTTACGGTTCATTCGCGTCCCTTTGACATGGCCGGCTGATGACAGCCAGCAAGTCCGAAACGGCCATCACAGTCTCCCTTGTCCTTGTCGGTACTCCCTACTTAGCATAACTACCGGTTGTTTTGCGATTGTGTGTGAGATATAGGTGGAGCATCAAGACTTAAGTGGAGAAAACATGCCTCGTAACATGATAAGTTAACGCCCTTTCGCTGAGATTGTTCAGGACTCATTTCAGTTGACCAAAGACCTTAAGAAAATAAACAGAGACAATTCCGGTGACTATGCATCTATTGGTCGAACGCTGTAAACAGCCAAAATTAGTCATCATTGGAGGTTGTGGTGACACATCAGCCAACGATATTGAATGAAGTTAATGCTTACATAGAGGAGAACGCTGACCCTACAGTCATCTGTCTAGGCGCCATGGTAACGGTACATCTCGCGCCCCCCCCGCCCTACAAGCCGAGGCTGGTGTCTCCTCGCCCAGATGGAGGTGGGTGTGGGAATAACAGCGACCTTCACATCGTTGTGGCCTCCTCACCCAAGCCTGTTCCGCCCTTTGCTACCAGCTGTTGGCAGGTTTGGTGGACTTATCGCCCTTACTTAATTAAGCAGGTACACTTTAGTGCTGCTGCCGATGACGTTCATGGTCCATCTGCCTCTTGCCTCGCGGTCTGGTTTGTCACAAGGTGCGCCCGTAAGACTTGAGAAACCATAAATGTAGGCGGGACGAAGGGGGACGCACAGTAGTTTATTGATGACGCACCAACGCGTTAATGATTGAGTCTGTCTCGCCTTGCGCTCTATTCACTGGCGTCTTTAAATGGGGAGGATGCGTCCGGAAGTCGCGTCAGATAGCAGATATGAGTCGTCTGTCGCTTTTCCTCGGGGCTTTTAACACACTTCTGTTATCAGTTAAGTTGTCATCTTTAGGTGGAAGTCGTCATATCCTGATGGCACGACACCGTCTTGTCTCTAGAACTCCACTTCAGACTGTCCCGTAATGTCGGCAAGGGGCACTCGAGGGAGTCAAGACAAACAACTGTTCTGAACGCATCGCTCGTGTACAATGGCATAGACTTGGGTGGAACTCGGAAACGCTACCCTCCTTGGGTCAACAAATTTTCACTTTCGTTTCATTATCGATTGCAGTCGATGGTCAACATTGATCCCTTTCGTACAGGCGTTGTACTACTTGCCGATACTTTAAGTTTGAGGTGCCTGGCGGACTACCGGGATTATGATTTACAATTACGTTACTGTCCATGTTTTAGGGTTAGGGGATCACTAGGCGCCTACTCCCTACAGCATCCACTACGGATTACGTCTGATCGACCGCATTCCTGGGCGGGTCAGTTTCGATGACCTTAGTGAGCCAATCACCCTTATTCTTGGGAAAAATTGGTTTTACTGGTTATCTGCAGTGAAGTTTTGTATTGTGCGCTGCTCTAACTGAGATCTCAATACCCACTTAAACAAACTAGCACATTTTGTTATAATACCCGTGTTTTTCTCTTAGTTTTCGCACTTCTTCACTGTTTTTCTACAGCCCCACCTGTAAAACCCCTTTTACCATCATTCTCATATGACCTGGGCTTCCCGTTTCCCAACAGGACCGCGTTTCCGAGCCTTATCTAGATCTGGCATAATCAATGACGACAGGGAATAAAGTATCAATTTTTTTGGCCTGGCTGCCCTAAATCGGGAAAGTCAGGAGTATGAACGGGAGCTCTCTCTCTCATTGATGAGCATCCAATCAAAAATTCCACTACGGAGTCACGGGTCAGCGGGTTATTCGGCGCTTACTCACCTCAACTTCCACTACGGTTTACGTCTGATCGGTCTCCTTACTGGACGGGTCAGTTTCGATGACCTTGGCGGGCAAATCACCCATATTCTTCTTGAAATTGGTTTTACTGGTTATCTGCAGTGACGTTTTGTCTTGTGCGCTGCTCAAGCTGAGATTTTCGTACCCACTAAAACATACTAGCATATTTTCCTGTAATACCTGTGTTTTCTCTCTTAGTTTCCGCAATTCTTCACTGCTATCCCACAGCCCCACCCGTAGCGCCTTTTCACCTTGATTCCCAGCAGGACCGTGTTTCCGAACCTTATCTAGATGTGGTATAAGCAATGAAGATAGGGAATAAAGCATCAATTTTTTGACCTAGCTGCCCTAAATCGGGAAAGTTAGGAGTATGAACGGGAGCTCTCTCTCTCTCTCTCATTGCTGAGCGCCCAAACAGAAATTCTACTATGGATTAACGGCCATCCGTCAGTACTGTCCTCCTCAATTAAGTAGGCATCAAGTCCAGACCTCCCTAGTTGGCTCTAGACAGAGTCTTCAAGGCTAAACGGGACGCCGCTTTTCCAGCTCTGTAAATACGCTACATTTTCTTCAATGCTTGCCTTCCGGTTGTTTCCAGTCATTTATGCTGCGGTCGAATAGCGTAAGCAGGAAGGAGTACGGATAAACATAAATCCCCCCTGCTGCAGGTGAGATAAATCGTCAACTATACCTGCACTTTTACCAGTCTTTCCTAAACCGGGCAAGAAAACCGAGATAACTGACTCTACCTACTCATCGACAGCGAACGGGAATGCGGAGTGCTGCATCTGCCGGTAAGCGTCATGTCAATTCGATCGCGAGAACAACGACGTACAGCGGTAGCACGGGAGGCGCAGAGTCGTGATCTGCGCTTGAATTATGGTGATAGCAGGCTTGTGCAGCATCTACCATTCCCTCTGCCCTTCTCTACCTTGCTAAGTCCGGAATTAAAACGATGACAAAAAGACCAGGGAGGGTGCGGTGACTGACAAGGTCAGACAATCTGTCTACGCGTGCATCATCTATCATTCGATACCATGCGATGCAAGTACTGAACTTCAACAGCAACCAACCAATCAGCCACAAACGCAGTTGTGTAAGGACGCTCTATCGGCGTGTCCAAACGCACTGCAGTGAGCCGGAAGACAGGATTGCCGAACTACAATACCTCCGATGGGTCTTCAAAGCCAATGGCTACCCGAGCAACTTCTTCAAGCGGTGCATACGCAAAAGGGACGAAAGACCTAACCACATAGACGCCAAACTTTTCGAGCGCTTCCGTATGTCAAGAACATTTCGGAAGCCGTCGGCAACTTCCTCGCACCACTTGGGGTTGGGATTGCACACCGACCGGAGGCAACCATCAGGCGTCAGGTAATGAAACCGAAACCGAAACCCACTACCACGGCATGAAACGTCTGGAGTCGTTTATCGGATCTGGTGCAGTTGCGGACGAAGAAACTACACCGGAGAAACCGGAAGACAGTGCCGAACGCGAATGGCCAAGCACGCCGCAGCGGTGTGGAGAAATGACGGCAGCTCTCAAGTTGCGGCTCATTCAACGAGATTCGACCACACATTCAAATTCGACGAGGACGAAATTCTCGCTAGAGGTGACAACCGCGTGAGCCGGGAGCTGATTAAGTCATGGTTTACTGGTCCCCAGTCCAATACCAAGTGCAATGACCTTCCATTTCCATACTTTGTGATGAAACTTCGCCTAGGCGGAGTAATTAACCAGGCGGGAAGCGTACAGGTGAACACTTTTCCCAGCGCCAGGGTCGGTGGGTCAAATGGTCGAGCAATCAATACACCAAAATCCAACGCACGTAATGAAATTGCGGCAATTAACGATGCGAATATCGGCCATCAAACAGTCAGCACACCACATGCAACGATCCCTGATGAAGGGGGAGAGCGGTGAATGTTCATAGGTATGCGGTAGCATGGCGACTGCATCCTATAAATACTGAAGCCCCTGGTTCATGAATCACTCGTATCTGCTGTTGTCTCTGATGATGGATTCGAGTAGGAATCCTAAACGTCAGGCTAATAAAGCTCTTGTCCCAGCGATCCTGTCCTCTTCTTTAACACCTATCAGTCTCCTTGCCCTTCCCACCCTGCTAAGTCCGGAAGTAAAACAATGTTAAAAAGACCAGGGAGGGGGTCGGGGGCAGTGACTGACAACGTCAGACATTCTGTCTACGCGTGCCACACACGACCTTATCCGTTCGAAATGGACGAGATTTTCGCAGAACCAGCCATTGCAATCTGACTCTACGTCCTGAAAGGAGGACCGAACTACCATATCCTTTGGCAGTCCTCAAAGCAAGGACTTTTAGTCCGACTAGCACTCTGCTGGTCAGCTACTCCACTCAAGTCAGCTCTAACATCGCAAACAATGATGTTCGCCGTATGGCCGCAGCCTAGCCGACGCAGAATGATGACCCGCACGTGAATTAGTTTCTACGGATGGCAGATTCCCGCAACATCTACTACACACTCTCTCCTCACTCGCCCGCTTGAGCCCGATGTCAAGAGAGCGAGAGTCAAGAAGACTGGAGGTGGTGGGGGAGTCGGGCGAAAGTGGACACATAAACACAAGACTGACTGCTATGCCTGAGTTATGCCACCGGTTGTCAACCCTTCAGTCCACGCCTTTTGCCTGTCGCAACAGACTCATGCGCGGTAAGCGGACGTGGAGATAACAACACTGGAAGTTATTTTCAAGCTCAGGTTTCCTCAAATGGTATAGAGAGCGAACCATGACATACACCGGGGAGTGGACTGTGACATAGGGGAATGTAAGGGAAGATTCGTCCCAGTATGCTTGGCCACCAACTGTAACCTGTTTTCACAGTCTTTGGGTTTGCATACGGAGCGTATGACCCCAAAATCAACTGCAGCATTAGGCCTGCGAGGTCAAAAATTGATATATACAGCGGATGTGCTACCTCATGAAAGGTTAACCAAAATTCCGAAATATTCGATTCGAAAAACAATAACTTACATAGGGTTCTAATCTTAATAATCGCGCAGCATAAGCACAAGCTTTTTTCGGCAAAAACCATACCATGTAAAAGACGACAACTTGATTGGCGTATATTTTCCCACTGATTTAACATGCCCCTATAAATGTAATTGTATTTCATAGACAAGGTGGATTAAAATAATCTTTCCTGCATTACTTCAGTGGCCAAAGGAAGAGTATCTTTCGGTTTTTAAAAACTTTTTCAGTTCGTCAATAGTTGTTTGCCCTACCTGCCTTTACACTTTCAGTCAGGGTTCAAAGACCAAATGCTGTATACATTCTGTCAATGGAATACCATAAATTTCTCTAAGCTGTTAGGAAAACTGCATATATGGTCTACAAAGTTGTTCAAATGATGTGCACCATATTGAATACTTTATAAGTAGCATCAGTGAATGCACTGGTATGATGCTGTGTCAATGGGCATTTCATGGTCTGAAAAGACCCCATAACTAGATACTTTAAAGGCCAAAAGATACCCTTTATTAGAATAAACAGTTTGAAGACGTAATTTGGTACTAAATAAGTAAAAAAGACTATTACTGAGCATGTTTTCTAGATAATATATTTGAATGCACAGGAGCATCAAAAGTAAATAGAAAAAAATCAAAGTAATTAAATGGCTTTTTTGCAGACGGTCAGAAAGAAACTGCAGTGTCTTATGTTTATGCTGCAAAACAATTACTATTGCATTCCCACTTGAGCAATCTTTTCGAATCAAATACATATTTCGGGATTTCGGTAAAAATTTCGCGAGCCAGCATGCCTACAGCAAACGTTCCCAAGGGTAGCACAGCCTTCCGACTCGCAGGCAACTACCCGTGTAACTTTGAGTGGCCACACAAAAGTTTGATTAAATCCCCTTTTTTAAAAATATTTTCAGAAGAAATCGGCTCTCTCTATATGGCGAGAGTAGGTGGGATGGACTTTTGTAGATGTCTAGACAGGATATGAGAACAGGAACCGCCTACAACACGGGTGGTTTTGAGCCAATCCCCAGTGAAATTAGGGTTGGATCTAAGGTTATAGTTAGAGTCAGGTTTAAGCTCATATTTAATGTTAACGACAAGGTCAGTCAGGATTAAGTTTAGGGTTAAGGTAGGGGCTGGTGTTAACTGAAGAGTTACGGTTTAAGATAGAGCAAGAGTTAAGATTAGGGCGATGGTTTAGTTCTATATTAGGGTTACTTTTGGAAGTTAAACACGGGGATATATTGCTTCTTCCAGAATTATGCGTAGGTTCATCTTCATTACTTGGGTGGGGCGTTCCAACTTCCATGTCCTGTTAGACGTCCACATAAGTCAGTCTCGTCAGAGAGTATTTACTTAAAAAGACAGGCGTCTGTCCGTCAGTCCCGGACCACTGCATGCACGAAACAACCTGCTGAATCACAGTGCTCACATACGGTTAGCTTGCCAAGAAATTTCAGGCAAAGCATTGTTATTTTTTACTTTTATAGCTTTCCGGGCGAAAATTGCCCAGCATTCTTAGATTCCGCTACGTGAGTGAGCGAGTGACTGAAACGAAATTTCCAGTGCGATACGATGAGCCACGTTTTATCAAACCAACCGATAAGACTCACTCTGTTTTACTAATGTACGTGCGACTAAGCTAAACCCTTAAAAGTATATCTCAGAAAGAAACTTAAACCATGGATGGTTGGTTGCCAAAACTAGCCACCTGATCTCATTCCCAGTTAGTGCTTTCCAGATCTACTCAGGACTGTGCGTAATCCACGATCGAGATCGAACAGGTTACATGATACACCTTGCTTGACAGTTCGGGCGCTCGCCCAACACCGAGACACGTGCTTCGCCAATTTTCCTCTTTCATACCGATAGATCTGCAGACCAAATCGTGCTGCAGGATGTTTCCCTTCCAAGAAACACGTAGTTCCCCTGCATAGTCTTAAAGGCCTGGTTGCCGGATGCCATTACCAGGATAATTTGTTTCTCTTTCTTGCGACGATTGGCTAGAATGTATTCTTCGTTGACGTTTGGGAGCAACAACTATAGAACTATCTTGGTTGCGGAACAGAATGTTGTCTTTCAATTTTTTCAGCAGTAGTCAGCGAGACCAGCCATTGACGTAGGTCTACCTGACGATGAGCCTAGAAGGTTTGTGGGCGTCTGATATGCCAGCAAACCATGACTCTTGCAGCCTGATGCACGCTGGCAATTCCCTGCCGGGAGATGTGTTTGCGTTCCCGCAGAGTATTCAGACCGTGAACATGGCTGCCCAGTCATCCTCCTCTTTCTGATCCGTCGTTGTCTTCTGTCGGTAAAAAATCCCGATCAAGTGTTTGCTGTGGATCGAGGGGTGTGGTGTGCGGATCCGGCCTTGCCAGCCATTCGCTCCCTCTTCCGCCCTCGGTCTTCTTGACTCTGTCACGACACTGGGCCCAGGTGGGGAGGAGGGGAGAGTGGGATAGATGATGCGTAAGTCTACTCTCACGATAACCTAATTTGCCTACGAGTCATCGTGCCTGCTTCATCTTATTGTGGAGCACATGGTAAACATCGTCGGGCCTGACGACAGGACTGTCACCTGACGATGGCAGACATGCTTGAAAACGGTCATGACACTCTTCCCTGACTTTAGTGATGAGACGTTTTTAAAATTGTCGATTTACCTCATTTCTCCCATATACCTAACATCTAATAAGACGGGTTGCCCCGGGAAGACGGGTTGCCCGTTAGCCTAGCTGCTGGCTACCCGGCGCGTCCACAGGTGGCGGATAGTGGGACGACCTTCAGTAAAGGTTAGCTGCGAAATAAGCAGACCCAGGTCTGACGAATAAGCAGTCGCGGACCAGCAGCGACATTGCTACCAGGGTGCGGTGGGCTGAAGTCTGGCACGCTGAAAGCCTTATAAAATGCCGCAAAACCCAATGACGGCATTGTGACATGGCGACCGTAAACCGCCATTAAATAAGTTTACTAGCCACCGCTGCCTTGTGGTTAGGTTTTTGAGCCAAAGCGCTAGAGAAGACAACCTCGAACAAACAATCCGAGCAGCTTTTGGGGACCCGCCCGTATTCGAAATTCCCAAGAAACCTCAGGAAACATGTCCGATTACAGTACTACGACCCATGCTACGGCGTCCGCGGGAACCGACGCGCTCCGCAACCCTGGTCCAGTGGTGCGGGAGAATAGTATGCGAGCTGGAGTACTCAATCGTGGACGGACTCTCGGTATTGGATGCTGGAATTAACGAACGTTCCTGGACCCTGGTACCCATAGTCTGACCGCACGCAGCCTTCATCAGTACAACGTGGATGTCTGCTGTCTGTCTGAGGTACGACTTCCTGACTCGAGCTCTCGTGAAATAAAGATCCCGGGAGTTGAATCACACTTCACCCTGTACCACAGCGGCCCCCGCGATTCCTCTGGTCAACACGGTGTGGCGATCGCCCTATCACAACAAGTGGACCTCGCGCTACTTGCTTGGGAACCAGTCAGTGACCGGATGGCCTACGTGCGACTGAAGGGTCAATTCACGAACATCTCCATCGTCTCTGTGTACGCACAAACTCCGGCTGACGAACAGCGCGGTAAAGAGGCGTTTTACTCTCAGTTGCAAGCGCTAGTTGAAAGACTGCCTCGCCGCGATCTTCTGATTGTCACCAACACATGTTTCCAGCATCGCAAAAAACATCTGCTGACCTGGTATTCAAACGACGGTCGTACGGCCAGTCAGATTGCCTACATACTAGTCAGCTCAAGGTTCCGCAGCTGGGTTCACGATAGCAGATCGATGCGTGGTGCTGAGACTGGTAACGCCCATGGGTCGGACCATGTCCTCGTCCGTACACGCCTGAAAGTTCATCTCTCATCCGCACCAAAAATGCCACGTCCTAGACGCCTCAATGTCGCAAAAATCCGGCAAGCCAGCACTGCCGAGGTCCTAAGCAGAGAAATCCGGACCTGTTTTACGACCCGAGCCGACAGAGAAGTCAGTAACCAGTGGTCGTCACTGAAGACCTCAGTCTATGGGGCAGCTGAGAAAATCCTTGGATACACCCAGCGACGCCGCAGTGACTGGATCAGCGGAAGAGCCCTGCAGTTGTCTGCTCAGACGGCTAGAGCCAGGTCCCGCAACGATGACTACTTCCGACAACTTCGGAAGATGACGGCAAAATCGGCCAGGGATGACCGGAAGCAATATTGGACCGAAATAGCGACATCCATGGAACAGGCCTCGAACGTTGGTGACACTCGAAAGCTCTACTGTCTGATCCGCCAAGTTAGCGGTAAGCCCTCTACACTGAGTGACTCTGTTCGCGATGTGAACGGCGGCTTTATTGCTGACAACTCGGCCAAAATCGAGCGCTGGCGTGAGCACTTTGAGCACCATTTCAACTTCGATACCCAACCTACATCGCCCTTGTTCTCCTTCTCAGCGGAGTTTCTTCCCTCTCCTACCTATGCAGTGCCATGCGACCGCCCCTCTAAAGGAGAAGTCGTCGATGTCATGCGAAAGTTACGCAACAATGAGGCACCCGGAGAAGACGGTATACCCGCTGAAATCTTCAAGTCTTGTGTCGACACTCTGGCGCCCTGGCTCCATGAGGTGATTGAACGAGCGTGGAGAGACGAGGTTGTTCCTGATGACTGGGGCTTAGGCATCCTCGTACCTATCCTCAAGAAGGGAGATAAGACGAGATGCGAGAACTACCGCGGCATAAGTCTCATCGACGTTGCTGCGAAAGCCCTCGCTACTGTCCTACTCAGGCGATTCCAGGCTGTGCGTGACTCAAGGACGAGGCCCAACCAAGCCGGATTTCGTGCTGGACGTGGATGCGCAGATCAGATATTCGCACTGAGGCGCATTCTCGAATTTCGCCATAGCTACCAACAACCGACGGCCGTCTGCTTCGTTGACTTTGCCGCCGCGTTCGATTCCGTTCACCGTGAGTCCCTGTGGCGGATAATGGCGCTAGATGGTGTATCGGCAAAAATCATCGCCATGATCAAGGCCTACTATCGCTCCACTACTGCGAGAGTCCTGGTCCGTAACAATCTTTCCCAACCGTTCGGTATTCGGTCTGGCGTCCGACAGGGTTGTATCCTGTCACCAATACTGTTCAACTACGCTATTGACTGGATCCTCGGCAGGGCCCTACGCGACAGTGACGGCGTTGAATTTGCACCCGGACATCGACTGACTGATCTCGACTATGCCGATGATATCGCCATACTTGCTTCAAGTTTTGGTGATCTGCAGTCTACGGTGTCACGGGTGAACGAGGTCGCTAAATCAGTCGGTTTATCCATAAACGCTGCGAAGACCAAAGTATTCTCAAGCTGCATGCCTGACCAGGAGAAGGCACCCCTGGGGATTGATGGCTGTCAACTTGAAGAAGTGGACAGCTTTAAATACCTCGGGGCGAGACTGCTGCCTAATGGACAGAGTAAGGACGACATTGTCTCCCGAATCGATGCTGCCCGCTGGGTTTTTTCAAGCCTCCGGAAATGCCTGTGGAACCGACGTGACCTCTCCATCGCTACGAAGATTCGCGTGTACCGTGCATCTGTCCGGTCTGTCCTTCTCTGCGGTTGTGAATGCTGGGCTTTGCGCGTGGAGGATGAGCGAAAACTGGGGGTATTTGACCACCACTGCTTGAGGATCGTCCTTCGAGTGAAGTTAACCGACTTCGTCTCAAATGAGATAGTCCGCGCTCGCTGCGATAACATCGCAAGGATAACTCAGGCCATCCAAGAAAGACGACTGAGGTGTTTCGGGCATGTTCTTTGTCGTCCATCTCAGGAGCTCAGTGTTATTGACCTCGATCCGGCACCGTTGCCCCATTGAAGGCGTCGAAGAGGGGGTCAGTTTAAAACCTGGCTCGACACTGTCCGTCAAGACATGGAGGTGGTTCTTGGACCTTCGGTATTCGGTCTCCGTCGTTGGCGCAGGGAATGGGTTGAGCTGTCTAGATCGGCTGCCGTGGATCGTCACGCGTGGAGAGGTACAGTTCGGGACATCATCGAGGCCGGCTAGATCAGACATGATCGCAGCCGTATCAAGTACAATTTGGTAGCTCACAGGTGGACAAAGCGACGAGCTCTTACCAATTCGTAATCGACATATTTTAAAACAAAAAGATGCCTGTTATTCTGGCATTCGGCACAATGCAAACGGTTTACAGGACCTATTAATGATTACGACCGTTTGATATAGGATACAATTTTCACAAAGCGGTCCGCAAAAACCCTGAATCGTAGCAGAAATATACTGCTTTTAAGTCAAAAACAGAACCGACAGCGGGCCATTCATTTTACCATGTGTGCCACAAACGGAATACCAAATGGCTCTGTTTATGTGCAG